TGCTGAATTGCCCTTGTTTGATGAGGAGACTGAGCAAGAGCATTGTTGTCCTGGAGAATAACTTTATGGTGAAGCTTTCCCAGGTGTTTTTCTGCTAACATTTTGGCTTTTTCGAAACACTCTCATAATAAGCAGATGTTATCATTCTTTGGCCCTTCAGAAAGTCAACAAGCAAATGCTTTGAGCATCACAAAAAAAACTGTTGCCATGACGTTTGCTCTTGACTGGTCTGCTTTAGCTTTGACTGGACCACTTCCACCTCTTGGTAGCCATTGCTTTGACTTTGCTTTGTCTTCAGGATCATACTGGTAAAGTCTTGTCTCCTCTCTTCTTACAATTCTTCAAAGAAAAGCTGCAGCATCTTGATCCCGCTTGTTTAAAATTTCCATTGAAAGATCTGCTCTCATCTGCAGTTGACCTGGGCACAAAGTTCTGGCATCCATTGAGTAGAAAGTTGGTTTAACTTTAATTTTTTAGCCAGAATTGTATAAACTGTGCCAATTGAGATGTCTATAATGTTGGCTGTTGTTTCTGCTGTTAATCATTAGTGCTCTTCAATTAAGGCATGGACAAGTTAAATTGTTTCCTTGCAAATTGATGTGAATGGTCTGCTTCTGTGGGCCTCATTTTCAGCATCATCTCGTTTCTTCTTAAAACAAGCTATCTATTTATAAACTGCCGATTTCTTTGGGAGTCTTGCCTCCATAAGCTTTTTGTAAAGCGTCAATGATTTTACCATTCTTCAACCCCAGCTTCACCATAAATTTGATGTTCATTTTTGCTTCAATTTTAGTAGAATTTATGTTGCTCTGGTAGGGAATCTTTTAAAACTGGTGTCTTATGCTTCCTCATGCCTCAAACTAGATCCTATTCAGTCAGGTAGTAACAAGTTAGTAGGAGTTTATTTTGGTGCAAAAAATTTTGAAATACATGCATAGATTTTTCTGTAATACACATGTTCTATTAACTTTTTGAAGCCCCCTTTTTTGTATAGTATCATTTCCCTCATTTTATTTATTGTTTATTGTTATACATTTAGGGGATACAAGTGCAGTTTTGTTATACGGATATACTGTGTAGTGGCAGAGTCTGGGCTTTTAGTTGTACCCATTGCCCAAATAATGAACACTGTACTCAATAGGTAGTTTTCAACCCTCACCTCTCTCCTACCTTCCCACCTTCAGAGTTCCAGTGTCTATTATTTTACTCTGTATGTCCATGTGTACCTATCGTTTAGTTCCCACTTATAAAAGAAAACGTGGCATTTGACTTCCCGTTTCTGAGTGATTTTACTTAGAATAATGGCCTCTAGTTCCATCCATGATGCTGCAGAAACTATGATTTTGTTTTCTTATCGCTGAATGCTATTCCATATATATATAATGGAATAGTATTTATATAGTATATATATATATATTCCATTATATATATATGGAATAGTATTTATATGGCTGAATTCAGACAAGATTTATAATAATTCAGACAAAATTTATATATGTATATATATATATATTCTTTACCAAATCTCTGTTGATGGACACTTAGGTGGATTCCATGATTTTGCTATTGTGAATAGGGCTGCGATATACTCTTTTCCATAGAGATTGTACTAATATACGTTCCCATCAATGGTGTACAATTGTTCCCTTTTCTTTGCACGCTCACCAACATCTGTTTTCTTTAGACTTTATAATAATAATCATTCTGACTGGTGGAAGAAGAAATCTCATTGTAGTTTTAATTCGCATTTCTCTGATGATTAGTGATGTTGAGCATTTTTTCATGTTTGCTAGCTGCTTGTATGTCTTCTTTTGAAAAATGTCTTTTCATGTCTCTTGTCCACTTTTTAATAGGGTTATTTTTTTTTCTTGTTGAATAGTTTGAGTGCCTTGTAGATTCTGGTTATTAGTGCTTTGTTGCATGAATAGTTTGTAAATATTTTCTCCAATTCTGCAGGTTGTCTGTTTATTCTGTTGATTATATGTTTTGCTTTGCAGAAGCTTTATTTTAACTAAGTCTCATTTGTCTATTTTTGTTTCTGTTGCGTTTGCTTTTGAGGTCTTAGTCATAAATTACCTGCCTATGCCAATGTCCAGAAGAATTTTCCCTAGGTTTCCTTCGGAATTTTTATAGTTTCAGGCATTACATTTAAATATTTAATCCATCTTGAGTTAATTTTCATATACAGTTAGAGATAGGGATCCAGTTTCATTCTTCTGCCTGTGGTTATCCAATTTTCCAAACACTGTTTGGTGTCCTTTGCACAAGGTATCCTTCAACTTTGTTGAATATCAGTTGGTTGTGGGTATGTGGCTTTACTTCTGGGTTTGTTATTCTATTTCACTGATTACTGTGTCTATTTTTTATGCACAGTGTCATGTTGTTTTGGTTACTATAGCCTTGTAGTATAATTTATAGTCAGGTAATGTAATGCCTTCAGCATTGTTCTTTTTGTTTAGGATTACTTTGACTATTCAGGATCTTTTGTGATTCCATATAAATTTTAGAATTGTTTCTTCTAATTCTGTGAAAAATGACATTAGTAATTTGATAGAAATTGCATTGAATCTGTGGATTGCTTTGGATAATATGCTTATTTTAATGATACTGATTCTTTCAATACATGAGCTTGGAATGGTTTTCCATTTGTTTGTGTCATCTACTGTGACTTTCATCAGTGTTTTGTAGTTCTTCTCATAGAGATCTTTCACCTACTTGGTTACATGTATTTCTAGTGATTTTCTTGTTTTGTAGCTATTGTAAATGGGATGAGCTTTTGTTTTGGTTCTGAGCGTGATCTTTGGTTTTTTTAAACCAAATATATTTGGTATCCAAAATATGAATAACATATAGGTGACTGAAAAGAAGATATTTCCTAAAATTTCACCAAGGAATGTCAGGTATGAGCTACTTGTTGGAAGAGCCGAAGATCAAGTTGTTGAAATGATACCAGAAACGCCTCATGGAAGCTGCCTTCCAACAACTACATGTTATTTCACCAGTGGAATTTGGAAACTGTCAGCAAAATGTAAAATGTATCCCCAACAGCCTTCTCTAGTTTCTTCCTGGCTGTTCATTTGGTTTATTTAACATCATTTGCTTTCTTTTTAAACCCCTAAGGGACAGAGATGGGGAAAAGGATGTGTTAAAAACCATTCTGTCTCCTTTTAGCTCCTCTGAGCCAGATGCATATTTTCCTTGAGTGTGTCATTGGCATTTTTGCTAAAATTCCAAGGGATTCAGAGAAAACCAATCTATATTTTTAATAGACATGCTGAAAAATATTTGTTCAGTTGACAGAGTTCAAGTAAATGATCCGTGTTACTGCTAGAAAGTTATCTTATTTGCCCATTCTTTGTATTTGCACATATAGTTTTTCCTAAAACTGTTCAGAATAAAGCAAGTCTTGTGAAGACCCTGTGTGAAGCTGGTGTTTAACTCATAGATTTAATAAATCAATGTCTAGAATAGTCAGAGAGAACCAATGCTTTGTCTGTTTGGATAAAAGGCTTGTTATAATTCTCAACTTAGCTCTTCTTCTATTATACTATCCAAGTCAGCATAGCATATTGCAGACTTGGGATAGTATTGTGTTATGAGTTTGATGGAATTACCCATAGGTTGAGATGAGTTCAATTATTTGGTTGAACTATGTGAAATTGCAGTTATTTGCCTGCTTTTGCCCTGTATAGTGGAGATTTCCTATGATTCAATTTAATGTATAAGGTAATACTTCACCTTAAATTCATGTGAATCAATTTCTAAATCGATCTATCAACTATATAGTAGCACCTAAAAGGGGAAAAAGTGGGGAAATATTGGGAATGTTGGAATAAAATAAGGCCTACTTAGTGAGGTAAGTAGAAATCTCTGGTTTTTTTTTTTTTTTTCTCTAAGAGTCCAACTAAGCTAGATAAGCCTTAGCACTAATCACATCATCCAGAGAGTGGGCTAGAGCAGTCTCTGGGCTCCCTGTGGCCAGGACACGTTGCTATGCTGAGAAGGAGAGCATTAGGCCGGTGGCCACTGGATGGCAGTTGTTCAGGAGAGATGTTACAGGTAAAGACAGGATGTTGTCTCTGGATTTTAGGTTATATACCATCACTCAGTTCAAACTTACTCACATCAACAATGAATGGGTGATCCATTAGCCTGCTCTCCTCTTATGCAAAGGTTAAGTCTTGAAGGACAAGCATGAGCACCTAAATGAAAAGAGGGAAGTGGGGCTGTGATGATCCAGACAGAGGAATCAGCAGGAACAGAGACTGAGCTACTTGGGAGAGGAGGTGTCTGACCTGTCTTCGTTACGTAGGTGCTTTCCACCAATATCATTCCTCATTTTCTCTTTCCTTCTAATGTCTCATCTTCCTTCCACTAAGTAAAAGTAGACTGCTAACAATTTTATATGTACATGATTTAAAATTGTTTTGAAAAACAGATAATTAGAAACACTGAATTTGCCCTCAAGAGAATGGTTGACAATTATCCTGAAGGCATTGATAATTTTACCATAGTTAAGAGTGTAAAATTTGGAATCAGAAAGACCCAACTTTGATTCTTAAGTCTACCACTTACAGAATGGGACCCAAAAAAGTTACTCAACTTCTTTAAACCTTGATTTTTCTTGTCTGTAAAAAGAAAATGAATTATTTATCTAGAACATTAATGCAATCAAACCCTTAGGCATTGCTGGTGGAAATATAAAATGTAGTTCTTTGGAAAACAGTCTAGTTGTATCTTAAGAATTAAACATAAACTTACCATATCACCCAGTACTTATTTTCTAGTTAGTTACCCAAGAATAGTGAAAACATATGTCTACTACTGGATAGTTGATAGATCAATTCAGAAATGAATTCACATGAACTCAAATTGAAGTATCATCTTAATGTTCATAACAATTTTAGTTATAATAAACGAAATGTGGAAAAATCCAAAAGTTCAACTGGTAAATGGATAAACAAAATGTAACTTATTCATGCAATGGAATAACATTCAGTAATAAAAGGCAACAAAATACTTTGACATTCTATAACATGAATAAATGTCAAAAACATTATGCCAAATAGAGGAAACCAGATAGAAAAGGCTACATATTACATGATTACATTTAAATGAAATGTTCAGAAAAGGCAAATCTATAGAGACATAAAGTACACTGGGGGCTGCTTGGGGTTGAAGACAGGAATGAATTCACTATGAAGAGGCAAGATAAATCTCATCAGAGTTATAAAAATGTTCTAAAATTAGTTAATAGTACTAGTTGCATACCTTGGTAAATTTACTAAAAGTTATCAATTGTGTACTTAAAACAGGCAGATTTTACAGTAGGTGTAAGTTATATCCCAATGAACCTTTTTAAAACAAATCATAGCAAACAACCAAAATGATTAAATCATGAGTAAGTTTCATACAAATATTCACTACAATATTGATATTTGAAAATAAATAGTTTTCAAATAAACCAGTAATAGCCAATTAGAATATTTCATGGAAAAAGGGTTCCAATTGTAGGAGCAACAAATACTGAAAAATATTGCTATACTGGAGATAGAGCAGAACCTGAGAAGCCTACATTCTCTACTAGTATGCTGGGGTTTACATCCCAGCTACCATTGTAGATACAGCAGAACCTGAGAAGCCTACATTCTGTACTAGTATGCTGGGGTTTACATCCCAGCTACCATTGTAGGCAGGTAAAATCAGCCTCTTCCTGCATCAGTTTACTCACCTAGGGATGATAGCAGTATCTGCTTCATAAGCATGTTGTAAGGAATAAATAAAATAATATTTGCAAAATGCAAAGAATAATGCCTGGCATATAGGAAATGCTATATGGTATTATAAAATGTTCATGCTCAGGCATAAAATACAGAAACAAGAATATTCATTACCACATTCTTTGTACAAGTGAAAAATTAGAAATAATGTCTGCTAATTTAAGAAATGACTATATAAATAATGCCAATATTTTGAAGACTATGTAGTATTTTTAAAGAATGACATAGATTCATATGTTTTAGTCGGGAAAAAAATCTCAAAGATACACTGTTAATGGAAAACAGAAAGATACAGAACAATAAAAATAGAATGATTCTATTTAAGTCAAAAACATGTTGCTTGTGCATGTAAGTGTATGTGTAAGTTATTAAAAGAATAGGTTCCGAAATGATACATACCAGTCTTGAGTGTGGATGGTAAGTGTGCGAGAGAAAAGACTTTAACTTTTTATTTTGCATTTCTTCCTTGTTTAAATATTTAAACATATGAACGTATTCAAGAACTCACATAAGGATTAAAGTGGAAGGTTAAAGAAATAGGCCTGCTATGTATCTCACAGAGTGGGCGCTGCAATCCAATGAGCCTTTCTATGTAAAGAGTGCTGCAAATCGATGCGTAAGAGCAAAACAGCTGTGCATCAATGTGTTCAGTAAGGGATGGCTTTTTAAATCCTGAAAGAGATTACCCGTATACTCTCAGAAGCTGACTGAAAGTCCTTATGGAAAAGAGGAGATCTTGCCTCACAGTCAACTTCAAAGTCATGATGGACATATATAAAGGATGTAAGAAAAGGCCCAGGCCTTAAGCCACAGTATATTGTAAATCCTTTTGTTTTCCTAGTTTCAGTGAAACCATTCCTTTTGAATTGTGTTGCAAAGATGGCCTTCATTCCGAAATTGGAAAGTGCAGTTAGTATTAGAAGAATATTGCCATCAACAACCTGCTTACTGTACAGTGTTGTCCAGATTAACATAGAATATTCTCACTCATAGATTGGATGATCTGGATAAGGAAAGCCCAAGAGACATGTAGATGTAAACAAAGCCCAGCTTCCATTTTTCTGGCTTAGATCTAATTTGAAATGTCCTGAGTGGCAGAACTTCTTTCTATCCATTCTCCTCAGAGACTTTCTATTAATCAAATATTTCCTATTATCAAGAAACATTTCCTGACATCCAGTCTAAATTTTTATCTTTCTTATGGCATTACATAATTTGGTTAATAAAATTATCCTATTAGCAGATCAAAGATGACATTCATGTTGTTACCCAGTTTCTTGTTGTTGCATCATGATTGTGTGGTTCTAAAGAAACGAGGAAATGAAGTGAGCGTCATTTTCTTTTATTTCCTTCATCTCTCCCATAGATATGAAGAGTCAGGTCACTAGAAAACAGAATATCATGTGATCATGTTTGACTGCACAACTGGTCTCTATCAATATCTATGCCTGAAGAGGAAGAATGTTTGCCTAGTAAAGTACAATATTTGGTTATCTACCTCTGTTTGCCTGACGTATCCCTGCTGGTATTAGTAACCACTATACAGGAGGAATAAATAGAGAGAAAATTACAAGAATGTGTGTTAAGATCCTGGAATTAATAGCAACAAAATTCTTTCATATGGTTTACATTAATACGAATCTAAAGCTTGCTAAGATGCAAGTAAAACATTAGGGTCAGAAAAGACAGAGGTAACTAGAAGCCCTCTTGTTATGTTGAACGGGAAAGAAAAAGAGTCCACCGGATATGAATCACATGAGTTGTTTTCATGGCAGGTGCCTGCAGCAATTATTTTCCAATGAGTGCTTGATAAAACAGGAGATGGAAAACTCAATACGTAGCGTCAATACTGATCACAGTTCATTAGCACGGCAAGTTGAGGACAAGCGATGGATGGTTGTGCCTTGTCCTCCAAGCATCTGAAGTGCACTTCCTCAGGCTTCTGTCTTCTCTTCTGAGTCACTGAGTCTCTGTACTGTTTGACACCCTATAACTGGAGGATTATGATTACTTAATGGGCTTCTGGGCTTAACTTGATAAAACAATAAAAAGTCACACAGAGAAATCTTAAAAAGTCGAGGTAGCTTGTAAGGCCACAGATCCACTGTTATTTCATACCACCTTCCTCTCTATCTCACTTCTTCACGTTGAAATATGCCCCTTTCCTTGAGATATGAATCACTAAAATACAAAAACTAGTTTAAAAATATGCATAGTTGACCAGGAACAGTGGCTTACACTTGTAATGCCAGCACTTTGGAGGGCTGAGGCAGGAGCATCACTTGAGGCCAGGAGTTTGAGAGCAGCCTGGGCAATAGAGCCAGACCCTCTTTCTACCAATAATAATAATAATAATAATAATAATAATAAAAAATAGCTGGGCATGGTGGCACAAGTCTCGAATCTCAGCTACTCAGGGGGCTGAGGAGAAGGATCAGTTGAGCCCAGAAGTTTGAGGCTGCAGTGAGCAATGATGGCACCACTGTACTTCAGCCTGGGTGACAGAGCAAGATCCTGTCTGTTAGTAAATGAAAAATAAAATAAAATATTGATAGTAGTATTTAGTGGGGAAACATTAATTTGAATCTACTCATAATTTTGAATTTTGAGATCTGGATTCATTTAATAAAAATAATGTTGAGTATATTTTCAAAACTATTTGAATACATGTTCTCCTTGTCTTATTAACTAATTTAACTTTACCATAGCTTAGGAGAGAACGGCTTGCCTCGTGGTGTGTGATAACTCTTGGGTGGGCAGGACTCCATCAGTAGCTATTCCTGAGACAGGAAATGGTGGCTCTGTGATCACAGTTTCATTGGTATGTTTGGTGTAAAATGCAAAACAAAACATGTCAACACATGGCAGGATGATAACAGAGTGGCTGCGGTGACATGTTGCAGGGGTCGTGAGAGTCATAGGAGACACTTGGCATCCTAAGGACCAAATCTTCAAAGGAAATTCCAAGACAATTGTGTATTTCCCTTTGTAAATGGCATTAAACACATTTAGAAAGTATTACATCTAGAAAGCTAAGTTAATGTTCAAGTCCCTCTAGTCTCCTATGTGCCCACCTCCCACCGCCGCCTTCTGGCACATTTCATAGAGAGGATAATTCCTTTTAAATGGATTTCTCTCTGGGCAGCATTTCCTTTCTGTGTAATAATGCATCCTGCACAATGAGCTCTTTAGACTTCAGAACATTATAATTTAAAGAGAAGGCAGAATCATCTCCACCAAATGTGGAAATCTGATTGTGCAGAGGGGAAGACTTAACTCGCTCAAGTTGTGCTCTAGGGCCAAACCCTTTTCCATTTCTACTGAGGACGTCTCTGGAGTGCTGAGAGGTGGAACTCCAATTAGGGGAAGACTGAGGGGCTGTTTCTATAGACACTCCATGGGAGGGCCACTTAATAACAGGAAGCTCATTGGCCCTGAAGCCCCCAGGGTCCTCCAGAGGGCTAGAGTGCCAACAGGGACATCCTTGGAGGGGTCCTCACCTTGGGCTTGGAGAGTCTACCTCACCATCACTGTCAGATGATTGTCTGGCAGCTGCAAGATGTCCCAGGGCCTGACTTCTCCCTTTCACAGCCTCACTCATCTCCCTGAGGTGTCTTTCCTGAAGTTCTGGAATCAAGAAGGTTTAGTAAATCATATAGCCTATCCAGGACCTTTTCAGGGCAGATATTTCTGAATTCTTTCTCTCTTGACAGGTAACTCTTCCATCTTCCAGGAATTATTAATGAGTTTTCTAGTTCTCTGATCTCTTGGTGATACTGTAACCAGCAAGATATTTTGTTGCCTTGTCATTTTGCCTAACCCAATTTTAACTTTTTCTTGAAAAAAAAAATCAGTATAATATGCTAAGATAATAGAACGTTGGGCTGGTCTCCTAAGGAAATGGTGTCAGCCTTTTAAAAGAAAACATCAAAGCAAGCAACTAACGATCGCAATAGAAAGCCAATACTGTTCCTTCTAAAAGCACGTCAGAATCATCATCTCTCTGGCTTTGAAGAACTCTGCATTGCTAGGTCTCTGTTATTTTCTCCCAGCCATTCTTTTCAGGATTTTCTGTGCGCTGCCATCCACTAACCTTTGCATCCCCTTTCTCCAGCCTACCCCTCATGTGGGGGTAAGAGCCATTGTATCTGTAAAAATACAACATGTCTCAACACAATTTCTAGCTTAGTCACGGCAGCCACCAGAACACTCCACAAATGTAAAAGATGACCCCAACCTGATGGCATTGGAGTATCTAACTCAAAAATAAACTTTATTCTGGAGAAGTAGGAAATTTATCCAGCATAAACAACTTCAGCTCTTTCACTGGTGAAAATAAAAGGACTCGTGGCAAATAAAGCACCACTTGGTACAGAGACTGCTGTTTGCTTGGTCAAAGGTGGGACTGTCACCCTTTTCAAAGCCTAATTGCCTTCACAGCAATCTCCCCGGTATTGGCTTTCCTGTTTGTCTTATTAGGGCTGCAAAGTACACCCTGTGTTCTCCTCGCAGGGAATATCTTGTTTCATCACTAATTGTCAAGATTTGGGAAAAGGTCAACTAAGCTTATCTAAACACCTACTAAAAATAAAAACCCTTTGAATGATTATCTTTTCTAAAAAGATAAATTATGGTGAACATTACTTATAAAATTTTATTTAATAATCTATTTAATAATCTTTCTCAAGACATTTGCATTTCATTAATAATGTTAACACATTCCTGACATTTTATTAATGTTTTACAGATTACAAAGTGTGTATAGATATGTGACCTCATTCATTTTCAAAACAGCATTTTGAGGTAAGAAATATTATTTTTTTCTTTTAAAAATTATAGATGATAAAATTACATTTCAAATAATCTATATAACTGGCTCATGAAAATATAGCAAACCAAAGTTTCAATTATTCCACATTGCTTTTCATCGGTTCTTAGATTGAAGAATGGAAAGTTCATGGACCTGTAATTAGTGACAGACACAAGAGGGACAGATGAACTCCTGATATTATATCTAAAGCTTGACCCCTCCCTCTTCTTTCCAGAGTAGTTCAAAATTACACCCTGTTGTACCCATTGTGGGCCAAGAAGCAGCATCTGATGACCCCATGTTACATGGCGAGCCCAAAAGGGACCATTCTCACCCTAAATAATTTCATGGCACGCAATACCAAAGAGCTCCATAATGGCACACTCCAGCTAGTAGCATGACAGAGGACACAAGGGAGATTCTGAACCCTGCTACCTCTTTGTTTTGTGGCTAAAAGTTCAACAGATATAGGGTTTGAAGGCATCCCATGCTGGGATTGGAGAGGCTCACCTTTACATTGTTTTGGGAAAGTATTATTCTTCTCCAATGAAGTCGTGTGTTAGATGCAAGGTATTCTAACTGATCTTGGGATTGTCAACCTTGTCTTCTTCTTAGTACAACCACAAAAAGACAAGGTTTGTGCACCCCTTGTCTCAGTTGTGAATAAATATAGGCCTAATCCTGAGGATAAAAATAGAGCAATCTCTCATTAAAATTCAAGTTATATGAGGACAAAGTTGTTTTCTTTTCTGTTTTGTTCACTGCTGCTTCCTTATTGCCTGCAAAGTGCCTGGTACATCATAGAGGCTGAATATGTAATATTTGGATGGAATATAATATATGGATGTGTGTGTATCTATCTATATGTCTGCCTGTCTGTCTGTCTATACCTCAACACTTTCTCAAATCTGATCATCCCAGTCTTAAAGAGCATGGTGTGGTAGACAATGATCATGCTTCTAATACACATTCTCCTCTTTCCTTCCCGGTGATAAAACTCTCAATTTTTAGCTGGGTGCATGGCCACTTAGAGGAAAGACCGCATTTCCCAATCTGCTTTGCAGCTAGACCTCACCATGTGGCTGGGATCTGAGCAATAGGTGGAGGGGAACATCTCCTGTCCAAGTTCAGCAGGTATCTTGCCTCCTTCCCTCTGCCTAAATGTGTGTGAGATGGCTGGAACACCAGAGGCCAGGAGGTAGAAGCCACATGTTCAAGATGATGGAGCAACTCCGTGGCTGGAGCCTGAGGTCCTGACAATCATGATGCACAGGCCCACAAGCCACTGTTAATCCACTGTTATTTTAAGTTTTCTGTCAATGCTTTTTTCCATAATACCTTTATAAAGTTTTCTAATAGTTGAGTAAACACAACATTCTATTTTATTGCTATATTCTTAGTTTTGTTTTCATTGAACATGAATTTTGTGGAGTGTTGCTTCTGCTTGTAATCAATGTTGACTCATCCTAGAAATCCAATCTCAACTCTCCTGTGTGATAGAGGCTCAGATGGAAACTCCTGCACATCTTGTTTCTTGCTGCCATCATCAGTGGACAATGCATGGCAGCTTGCAGGGACAGGATCACTGAGCATGAAGAGGATAAATCTTGACATCTTGGAAGATTTCCTTTTTTTTTTTTTTTTTTTTCCTGAGATGGAGTTTTGCTCTTGTCGCCCAGGCTGGAGTACAGTGGCATGATCTCAGCTCACTGCAACCTCCGCCACTTGGGTTCAAGTGATACTCCTGCCTCAGCAAATCCCTGAGTAGCTGGGATTACAGGCATGCACCACCATGCCCAGCTAATTTTTGTATTTTTAGTAGAGATGGGATTTCTCCATGTTGGTCAGGCTGGTCTCGAACATCTGACCTCCGGTGATCCACCTGCCTCAGCCTCTGAAAGTGCTGGGGTTACAGATGTGAACCACCGTGCCCAGCCAGAACATTTTCAATCTGCTTTCTGCATCGTAGCTTTACTGTTCAGTTTGAAGAAAATTCTCTAAAACCAGTCCTATACATTTTTCAAATGCATGGCAAAACAGGCCAAAGATACAGACTAATTATTTTCCCATGAACCTACTCTACTTCCTGTGAAGTACGGATTCCCACCTACACTTTAAGTAGCACCTCTCCACTAGTGGTCCCAGATTCCTCTCTTTCTCAATTGTTTCTTAAACAATGCTTTCTTGATCTATATTCTTACAGCCAATATTTTATTGAAATTCATTTCACTTCCTCCTATTTAAGAAAGAAATCACCATGAATAAGTTTTTCACTATCAGCACCTTTCCTGGTATTTCTCCCCCAATTCAAATGGCTTTTATTGCCATCACTAACTTCTTGAGAGTTACTGCTTTCTTTTTGCCTGTATGTTCCATTGTGTCTCAGACATCTCACAGCTTTTTCAAGCTCAGTATTTTCATATTTGAAGCTCTCATAATCGTCCTCCCATCCACACCTGTTCCATTTCCTATGTTGATCATTTCACTCTGTCTCAGTGGCCTGAGTCAGAAACCTGGGAGATACCCTATCTCAAAATGCTGTTTTGAAAATGAATAAGGTCACATATGTACATGCACTTTCTAATCCATGAAACATTAATAGAATGTCAGAAATATGTTAATATAATTGATGAAATGTGAATTTCTTGAGAAAGGTTATTATCCAATATGCATTATCCATATTATTCAGTATGAATTCATTCATTCAATATGGATGAATTGGTTCCATATTCAGTTGGTCACCAAGTCATCAATGCCAACACAGGCTTTGGTTTTATTCTTTTGGCCATTATGTTATTTAATTTATCATCACTTATTGCCTGAGATTTATCAAGAGTCTTCACACTCTGCTTCCAATCAGCCCACTTCAGTTCATCCCCCACGCTTCAGTCACAGTTCTGTCTACACTAGAATCGTGGGCATATGACTCTTCTCTTAACTCCCAAGCTGAGCAAGTCTGAACTGAAGCCCTGGCCGCTGCCTGCTCTTGGGCTTCATCTGCCAGCCATCCCTTTAAATTCTATAACTTCTGCCAGCAGCAGTCTGCAGTTAGGGGAATTGGGGGAGTGGGCTTTGGGGTTAAACTTGCATCCTCCTCATATGCCCATTTTCCTTTCAGACAGCCTTTAAAACCCAGCAGAACTGCGAACTGTCAAGCACTTCCCTGACCCGCAACCTTGGCCAAGGATCAAGTCTTACCATGTAGAATCTATTAGACCACCTGTGAGCAGCTCCATAGCTGAGATCACCTTTGCCTCTATCTTTGGCATCAAGCAAGGAACTTCACATCTAGTGGGTTGTTGGAAGTTAGTTGTTTAATGAACTCACAGGAATAGAAAACCTGACTGCATGTTCTCAATTATCAGTGGGAGCTAAACACTGAGTACACATGGATGCAAAGAAAGGAACAACACACATCAACGCCTACTTGAGGGTGGAGGGTGGGAGGAAGGTGAGGATCGAAAACCACCTATCAGTACTATGCTTATTACCTGGATGACAAAATAACCTGTACACCAAACCCCCAAGACATGCAATTCACCCATATAACAAGCTTGTACATGTACCTCTGAACCTAAAAATAAAAGTTTTTTAAAAAGTTAGTTGCTTAATAGAGTAAGTAAAATTCCATTTGAATCATCCACATCTCTCAAGGGAGAGCTATGGCTTATTGGAATAGGTGTGTTTCTCTCCATTCTCTACCTATCTTTCCTAATTCAGAAAAATTGTAAATGCAGGTAGACTAATGTATTTCTACACAGTACTGTCTTTTTGCAACATATAGTTACTTCAAATTCTACCTGAATTTTTTCTCTCCAAAACAAGAAGCAAAAGCAACATCTCAACCAGATTCTTTTAAGCCTTTTAACATTTTAGTTTTAGAGTTTCTGACTTTGTTTTCAGACAGTTCACAGATGATTAAAAATCAATAAGGTTTCAACATTTGAGAATTTATCTCCTATTGGACAATCAGTGCATAGAATGGCCAAGACAATTTGTAATTTTTGATCAAATCCTTATGATAGAAATAAAAAACAGAGCACGACTAATCCCATATTTTAAAAAAGGTTAAGGGAATGAGAAGGTAATTCATATTAACTGAGTACCTACTGTGCGTCACACACTATGCATGGAGGTTCATGGTGGTGAATTGAATCTTCACATATAATCTAGGAAGTGGTTATGATTACTGTGGTTTGACTACTGAGTGCAGTGAGATTCAGAGAGACACAGATCTATGGAAATTAGCTCACAGCCTTTCCAGTACTCCAGACCACAAATGCTATTATTATAACCTGTGGGAATCCCTGACATTAAGGCAACAGTATATGCTTTAGTCCAAAAATGTTCATGAACATATTTTTTTTCTTTACTTTCAGTAGCTAATTCACTTGTTTGCATTTAATTTCATAGATTTTTTTTCTTCAATGTTTATTTTAAGTTCATGGGTATATGTCCAGGATGTTCAGGCTTGTTGCATAGGTGAACATGTGCCATGGTGATTTGCCGCGCAAATCAACCCATCACCTAGGTGTTAAATCCATCATCCATTAGTTATTCTTCCTGATGCTCCCCCTCCCCTCACCTGCCCCTGACAGGCCCCAGTGTGTGTTGTTCCTCACCACATGTCCATGTGTTCTCATCATTCAGCTCTCACTTGCAAGTGAAAATATGCAGTGTTTGGTCTTCTGTTCCTGTGTTAGTTTGCCGAGGATAACAAAGGACACGGATCCTCAGCAAATTATGGATAACAGTTCTATCCATCCTTTGCAAGGATACGGTGTCATTCTTTTCTATGTCTGCATAGTATTCCATGGTGCATATGTTACCACATTTTCTTTATCTAGTCTATCATTGATGGGCATTTGGGTTGATTCCATGCCTTTGCTATTATGAATAGTGCTGCAATGAACATATGCATGCTTGTATCTTTATAATAGAATGATTTATATTCCTTTGGGTATATATCCGGTACTGGGATTCCTGGATCAAATGGTATTTCTGCTTCTAGATCTTTGAGAAATCACACACACTTTGAGAAATCTACATCTTTGAGAAGTCTTCCACAATGATTGAACTAATTTACATTCCCACCAACAGTGTAAAAGCGTTCCTTTTTTCTTCACAACCTTGCCAGTATCTGTTGTTTCTTGACTTTGCAATAGTCATTCTGACTGGAGTGCGATGGTTTCTCATTATGGTTTTGCTTTGCATTTCTCTAATGATCAGTGATGTTGAGGTTTTTTAAAATATGTTTGTTGGCTGCAAGAGTGTCTTCTTTTGAGAAGTATCTGCTCATGTCCTTTGTCTACTTTTTAATGGGGTTGTTTTTTCTTGTAAATTTGTCTAAGTTCTTTGTAGACTCTGGATATTAGACCTTTGTCAGAAAGATAGATTGCAAAAATTTTCTTCCATTCTGTAGGTTATCTGTTCACTCTGACGATAGTTTCTTTTGCTGTGCAGAAGCTCTTTAGTTTAATTAGATCCCATTTGTCAATTTTGGTTTTTGTTGCCATTGCTTTTGGTATTTCCATCATGAACATTTTATACATTTTTTAAAAATAAACCTTTTATTTCTGAATAGCTTTAGATTTATAGGAAAATAATGAAAGTGGTGCAGAGTTTCTATTATTATTATTATTATTATTATTATTATATTATTATTTGAGACAGAATCTTGCTTTGTTGCCCAGGCTGGAGT